TTTAGGCTCAGAAACTCAGTAGAGGATAAGCTATGAGATAGCAAGAGGGTTGGGGTTTGGTTTTCTTTTTTGTTTGTTTTTTTTAAGGATAGTAATAAGGCATAAAAGCAGATTAAAACTGCATTTGCAGTTCCATCCTGAAAAGCAACATCAGAGGTCAAAGCCATACCTTCCTTCCACAAAGCTTAAAGCTCCTCTTCTGTGTAACAAAATTATCCAAGGTCAGGTCACAGGAACTGGAGAAATAAGAAGGAAAACAAGAAAGCCAAAAGCACAAGTCTTCATATTTAAGGAACCACCTGAGGAGTGATATACAATAGAAGCACTGTATTAGAAGACTCTTGTTTCTTTCTGGTAGAGCCTGGTGGTCAAGAGTGACTGAAGGTTATGTGGAGTGCCAGGTTATCTAAGGCACACATGTCCCTGGACTCAGCAATTCCATTACTAAGAATTTATCTGACAGGCACACAATCACATCTGCACTTCAAAGGCTATTCACGACATGTCTGAAGCAGCAAAAGATGAGCGCAGTATGACCACCACCAAAAAGATTGCTGACACAAATCTTGGTGTATGCATGCAATGGAATATTAAGTAGCCAATAAAATTGAGGCGGCATCTGTATATATGGAACATTTTCTAAGCCACATTGCTAAACAGAAGACACAAAGGATTGGGAGGAGAGACTCTAAACACTCTATAGACAGTATTATGCTACCAACTCAATAAACATGCACAATTATATGTGCACGGAGAGTTGTGGTGGTACAGTGGGGTTTATTGAACCCTCCATCTGCTTGGGCTTAGTGGGCAGGCAAAAGAAGTAGTCCTCCTAGGAAACACTTTGTACAGAACTTTTCTGAAAGGACATGCAAGAAAACTGGCAGTAGTTGCCTTTGAGAAAAGGCACTGCATACCTGAGGGACAGACTTTGTAATGAATATACTTCAGTACCATTTGCTATTTGCATGTGTTACTTATATATATTAATAAGCTAACTTTGAGCTGTGGTGTTGGAGAAGAGCACTGAATATCCCATAGATGGTTAAGAGAACAAACGTGTGTGTTGGAGAGGGTGCAGCCGGAGTGCTCTTTGGAGGCAGGAATGATGAGACTTCGCCTCACGTGCTTTGCGTACGTTGCTAGGAGGGGCTATTCCTTGGAAAAGGACATGATGATGGGAAGGGTGGAGGGTCGGTGAAGGAGAGGAAGACCCTCAACTAAGTGGATTGACACAGTGACTGCTGCCTGCAGTGGGCTCTTGTATGTCAGGAAGTGTGAAGATGGCATGGGACAGAACAGGGTTCAGATCTTTTGTTCACAGGTTCACTATGAGTCATACGCAACTCAATGGCACCTAACAATAACAACAACAACAACAACGAGAGAGCAAGAAGGGGTAGAGGCGTAGAGGGTTGTATTGGTCAGGGGTCTCCAAAGTTTATTTTTGCATTCTAACAGTGAAAACTTGGCACATAATACACACCTTCAACGTACAGAAAAGCTGTTAAAACATGGTAACTGCCATTTTTTGGTGGTTCATTCTTTTATTCATAAATTATGTACATCTATTACTGAACCAGTATTTATGTATATTACATATCACATTCAGAATGAGAAGCTAGAGTCCAAGCTGGAAAATAAATATAAATCAAAATCCCAGTACTATTGTCCTATGCCCCATGGGCCTTCCTGCACACCACACCTTACCCTCGTCCCTGGGACCACTCACTGCCCTAAGGAGTGAGGACCATCATCAATTCCAACACAGCCCATTCAACTGGTGAACACATTTATTATATAGAAGCCTTTTATTAAAGTGAGAACTGTGTTTCAAATAACAAAGCCTACCACTTTGAAAAATTCAAACACAAAACTGCTAATTTGGATAGATGCAAAAATCAGAATTTCAATCCTTCCTTCCTTCCCGTTCTCACATTCCTACCACTCAGGCACGGTTTAAGTTTACAAAGGCGCATTCCCTCTCTCTCTCCACTTCACCCAAACCAGTACAGTGCCCAGAGTGAGGGCTTCAGACATGTACTTTTAAGCAAAATATTATGCTTCAGTAATTTGGATTAAGGCTGAGGAGCAGACAAGTAAAAATTAATGCAAAAAATAAGTCACATGCTATTTCAAAACAGCCTATTTTTCACTGCTTTCAAGTTTTGGTCATTTAACTCTTGTTTTCATTCCTTTATGAGATGCCTGGCATAGTCTATAAAAGCATCACCGCAGCATCCAAGAGTCAAGCTTAGAGTTTGAAATAATTCTAATACCCACTTCCTACTCTTCAAAATCAGATTTTCTATAAAGGATGTAAACTATTGTAGGGATACTGTTTAACCTACTTAAACATTTATTAATTTCTTAAACCACCACAAAGGCCCTCAGGTTTAGGGTCAGGTCAGTACAACAACTTTGAAAGCCCATCGTCTCCCAACCCCATCGAGGGACTACCCTCATCTAACTTCAGGAAGCTCCCCTTTAGTCCCTTTCGGCCCTGCTAGGTGCATTATCTTTCACTTTGTGGGTTATTTCTGCTCTTTACCTTCAATTTTGAGAATCTGACAGTGTTTACATTTTGAGTTTAACTAGAACAAAATAAAATCTTCTCAGTCCCATGGAAGAGTCTACATGAAGCTCTCCATGAAGCAATGGGCAGGCACAGACACTCTAGGGCTTTTAAAAGATGTCTTACAACTACCACAAGGAACAAAGGACAGCCCTGATCGTGGTGAGAAAGTTAAAGAACAGAAAACAAAGTTACACAGATTGGATCAAATAAACCAGTACAGCTCCTTTCAGCCCATCCACTCCCCTGCTCAGGACCTCTGGAGAACAAAAAAAAAGGAGGATGGGATGGCATCTCACGGGAGTAAACATCTTACAATCAGGCCATAATTCTTTATACCAACTCATTTTCTGTCCCTAAGACATAAAGCTAAGTTCTGCACTAACCAAAGCAACTCACTGAAGGCATGCCCTGAGGACGTACCTCTGGAGTGGTCCTAGCAGTTGTACCAGCCAGTGATCTGTGACAGGACCAGCTAAGAGGGGAAGAAGCAGGTCACCCAGCAAACCACAACAAATGCTCTAGGTCACTGTAAAGGCAACTGCACCTACAGTAACGTCTCCTTCCATGTTCACACATTTGTTCTTCTGGCTGGTGATAAACTTGATTACCTACCTCATCCCTGTTTAGAGTCAGGTAATTTTAAGTGACAAGTTACAACTAGCACAAGCATAGAAGGGAGAAATTCCAGGGTGTTTTCTAAATTATCCAACGTAGGGATCCTAAACTGCCCCTCAAGGATTGACTATTTCCAGGATGTCTGGCCAATTCACAGGAAAACTGCAAGGTCCCCTAATCAATGATTGAACTTTATAAAGACAGTAAGTACAGGACAAGCAGCCTGTCTCTAGCCAAGGCAGAATATATACTCAGTTTTGTGCACATACACAGATATATTTAAATAAGAAATCTTTTTTTTTAAGAGTCCTACTACTGTATTTCTAGCAAATGCCAAAAATACCAGTCAGAAAGAAGTTTTCTCTGTGTTTTCCCCAAGGATTAAGGAAATTGCAGGTACCCTCCCCTCCCTCTCCCTCAAAAGAAGACAAACTGACAAAGGAGGATACAGAATACTTCGGGTTTCCATCACTATTATGTTCTGTTTTGAAAAAAGAATGATCTAAATGTAAGGTACTATTTCTCTAAAAACTCTGAGTTCTGCTACCAAAGAGACAGCTAAGTAGAGCCAAAACAAAACAAAAAAAATTGCCCACTTTTTAAAATCTGAAGAGTGATCAAAGACTTTGCACAACTGACAAGGCAGACTTGTTTTGACAATGGCCTGCCAGCCATGTAGAGTTCTATCAGTATTATCACAAATGCAACATATTTTTCTCTAACAAAGATATGAACATAGGTAAAGGACTGTGACTAATTATAGTCAAAATGAAGATAACACCCTACATTTATTCCTCAGACTAATTTACAACACAGAGCTTAAATCAGTCCCCTAATGCAGTGGCTCTCAACTTGACTTCACTGTCAGAACCCCAGGAAATCTTTGAAAGAAAACACAAGAACTAGCTTATGTCCCTGCCAGTCTCCTGGGAGGCACCCAGACATCGGGATTTTTTTTTTCTTTTTTTTAAGTTTTACTGGAAATTCCACAGGACAGCCAAGGTAAATCACCACAACACTAGAGGCATGAAACATTTCCCCGAAAACTCCAGAGCCTGACCACCCCAGTAAGGAACAGGCCTCTGTGGGATGTTACAATCTATATAACAAATTTGTACAGATCAGCCGGTGATGCAATTCTGAGCTTTTCCATACACTTTAGTGTATTTTAGAGCTATACGCAAGCAGGCAAATACCAGCAAAGAAAAGACAGACTAAGAAATTTCCCAAAGGCATGATATGAAAAAATAAAACAGAAGAACAATCTTGTATTTTAAAGTGATGTATGAGAAGTCAAAGCTTATGAAATTTTATTTATACAAAAGAATAAAAACACCTATTTTAAAATGAGTGGCAATCTAAAGCCATGTTTTTCCGCTATTCCTATTTCTTGAACACAAACTGCTTTTGACTCAAAAAAGACTGAAGATAGGTAATTATTAAATAAACACTCTTTATACCTTCCCCCTGTAAAAAGACAAAACAGCCAAGTTCCCTCTTTTTATGTACGGAAGATCAGATTGTTTTCAGTTAAGAATATTTGCAACTTCAAAAAACAGATGATCAGATATGTCAGCAGGAAGGTATGAGCTGTACAAAAGCATTACAAAAAGTCCCAAAAAAAAATAAGATGGTAAAAACAACAATACAAAAATAATAAAACAAAAAGAAGATGCCAGATATTTACAGCCTCCATCTGAAATGCAACTTATTGTTCTATTCTGAGTGTAAAAACAAAGCCAGCCAGCACTTCTGATGAGAGTCACAGATGATGTCGATGCCAACCCCTCTGCAGGGAGGAACCAACTCCAAGAAGGAAGAAATGCACAGTTTGCAGCTTGCTGAGATTAGAACCAATTCACAGTTGTTCCTGCAACGCTGTTACTAAAAATGACACAAAGTAAATGATCTGATGTGGTTTTACAGAAATGACTTTTTGTCACCACATTTCAGAACAAACTGCGTCGCAGGCACTGGGTCCAGGAAAGCAGATGCAGATGGCCACGCACTCGGGTGAGATGTTTATCTTTTGAGGTCAGATAAGGGAAGCAGGGCTCTAGAACCTGGAAGCTTCTGTACTAATGAGTCTTCTAATAGTCCTAGAGAGAGAAAAACAAAAGTCCCAATTTACTCACAGCAGAACCTTGGTTCTAACCCGGAGAGTAGGGGGAGATCTCATAAACAACTCTGCTAGGAAACAGATCTGTAGCTAAAGTTCTTCTGCAAATATAGTGTATTTCACATCTAAAGGTGGGCTGTCTTCTGAGCCACATGGGGATAAGTAATCAATTCTGCCCTTATCAGACCACCTGAGCCCAACAGTCAGAAAAAGGTGTTTATGATTTACCATTTAATCAAAGGGACTTTTTCCCCCTTCAATAAATTTGTGTACAACCTCTTCCTCTCTCCAAAACAGAAAAAGTAAATAACACCTAACAGTTAGGGTCTGTCCAGATGAACATGCCAGACTTTAAAACTAGACTCATGTGCCAGACTCAATACACTCAAGTCCTAAAGACAGAAATGAATTTTTAAAATCATCTACAAAATTGCCAGCCTCTCTGAAATGGCCTGGCTGATACTTACAGCTCGTGGTTTTTTGTTTAACTTCAGATCAATCCTGTGATGGGAAAGATAAAAAGATATTTGCATTTTAATTTACAGAAAAAATGTCTAAGGAGGCAGCTACTGAATAGGGCACAAGCTATAACAAAGACTATTTGGTTAAGCAAAGTCCACATTCTTCATTAGACTATGCCATATTTAGTTGTTTACCCAGATGTTATTAAGCAAGTATTGGTTTAAAAATATGAGCAGATATTCTTGCCACAAGGCAAACTGAGATGACTCAGATATATACGGCAGTTATGAAAGTCATAGACTTTTTAAAAAATATTGCAAAATTACATGTTAAAGAGATCGGATTAAGAGGGCATGCTCTACATTAATGGGTTAGCTCTGGTAATTCTATCACCGATAATTATTGAGACACATGGTGATTAAGATCAGGAAAGAGACTAGGAGTTTGTATTTCTGACAAGAAACACAAAGGAAATTAAATGAAGTTCAATTTTTAAATATTTCCAAAATGTCAAACTCTTAAACTATTAATCTCCTTATGAAGCAAAGCCAGAAAATCAATTTAAATATGAATTAAAGATTTTTCTATTTAAGAAGAAAGTAAAATGCATAAAAGTGAAGTTTACGTAATTTTGCTTAAGTTATTAAATAAAATGTTACCTCCATCACGTTTTTCTGTTTTTAAAAAAAACTTCCCAGCCTAACCTAATATACATACCTACAATTAAACAGATAAACTATGGGTTAGAAAGGTCTCAAAAAGGCATATTGGTGTCTACACACTAAACAACACAGCACAAATACTAATGCAAATCACACTTACTCAAAGTCATAATCAAACATGCCAGACGGGCTGAGGGGCAGCATTTGAAAGGAAGAAAGCAATAGAAATTAATGTACTAATTGAATAAATTAGTTGATTAGCCTAGCAAGACTTGTAGAAACAAAACCAGCTTTTATGAATTTTAAGCCATAAAGTTTCAAATATCAAAGCACCAAAGATTTTGTGGTCAGGAGATCCCCTTTCCTCAATGGATTTCAAATCAGAAGAACAGACTACGAAAGGAAAAGTTATTTCATTAGAAAACTACAGATACTTGGTGTCTTTTTTATTAGCTTTCAAATCTAGAGTTAGAACTTTTAAAACATTTCATTGTAATTTAAAAAAAATACTTAGATCATTAGAAGAAACAGAGAAGAGAATGGTTTAGTCATACAATGAAAGGTACTCCGAAGACACTGCTAACATTCAGCATAATAAATTTTAACTAAAATGACAAGAACATCCTCAACTTTGAATAAAAGAAAACATTTTACAACATTTTAGTCAAGTTATATGTTCTAAATGTATCCAGGGAACATGGTGCTCCTTTTCTATAGTATTCATCCTAGAAACCAAGAGTTCAATGGAATAACTTCTTCCGTGGTAGAACCTCATTCCAGAAACTGAAGAGCTAAATTGCTCTGACCCCTGGTGAAGGCAGTTTTCTTTTTGGGTCAAGGCTATAATTGAAGTACATTGGAGTCTGCGGAGTTCCTATTAAAACAAAGGAAAGCAGACATCCACAAAGCACCCCTAATCTCAGAGATGGATCAGGGTAGTACCCAAAAGGAGGTCACTGTGGGCTAAGGTTACTAGCAGACGGTGGTCTAGGCAGACCTCCAAAGCATGACACCAGCTCCTTAGCTCCAAGGCCTCCCAGACTCTAGATAGGTGATAAAACAAAACGGAAATGGCTGCATTTTCCTCCCAGCCAATGTTTCCTTGACTAACTCAGAAAGCCTAATAAATGTCAACTGACCTTATATAACAGTTTCACTTAAGACATTTGGGTAAGTATATTCAGTAAGTATACAAGGCAGGAATTAGCAAATATTTCTCTTTTGGTCTAACTTAACTTTGTTCTCTAAGTCAAAATAGATTGTACTCAGTGTATCAAATCACAAACAACATGGAAGAATTCTAGGATCTTGTGTAATAATAAAAACCTGTAAGAGTAGCTGGAAGTTACTTTGTCAACCTTTTCCTTTAAAGACACTAAAATTTAATTATTGTTCGGCTATCATATACAATGTAAGAACTCAGCTCACTGTGGTCCATTTATAAACCTACAAATGATATGCTAATTTCCACAGTCTTGAAGAGGGCCAGTTCAAAAGTTAGTTCTTTCACTAATATATCACATTTATTTCTACCTTGCTTTGTTCACCACCAAATAGTGGCTGGCACATGGTGGGTGACCAAACATTTGCTGCAATAATCTACTACTAACTTTATCTGACTACATGAGTGTGGCACCCCAAAAAAGAAACAAATACCATGGTGGGTGCAAACTTAAGAGCCAAAGTGCCTGAGCTACCCCCACTCCTGATCTGTCAGCCCCACTGAGACATGAATCTGGGAAAGGGGTTTAAGCCAAACACAATTCTAGACTAAAGAAGGCAAGAATCCAAGATGTCTACAGGGCACGGTAGGGACCGTGGCCCCTGGGACTTGGCTTCTCTGGAGAGAAGGCAGTGCTGAAGCTGAAGGGACCACAACAGCCAGATATTAAACTAGGACAGGGAAAAAGGATCCTACTTCCCACAAGAACCCAAGATTCTTAAAAGCAGTAACTTGACAAGAAAAATCTTTAGAAACCCTGGTATTTTTCTGAAAGGAGTTATCTCGTAAGGCTAAGAAAGGAAAGAAGTATTTTCCTATAGAAATTTACCAAAAAGTCTGTAAGAAGAAAGTTAAGGCCTAACTCCCTTTATCAGTCATCAGCTGATCATGCCATTAATGAAAGCAATGTTTTACCTGAAACAACAATTATTTAGTTTATAGTATCAGCAATGGAAAAAAGTAGTCCCAAAAGTAGGAATTTTTTCCCCTCCTAATCTAGATACTCTGAAATAGAAAAAGAGTAATTATCTTTAAAGGGCAGTAGAGTACATGTAATGGAATAGAGAACATGACATTTAACTATCTTGAATTAAAACTATATATTCTTTTAAGAGAGTGATTCTATGCTACATCTGTGACAATGTAGCACCAGCCCTATAACAATAGTTAACTCACAGCCCTATGAAAGGATAACAAAACAAAACGAGTATCTCTTACTACTGTTCTGAGATTAGCATGGTAACTTTGGTTTGTAAAACATGTTAAGATGCAGCAGTCTTTGTTCACTATTTGAAGGAAACATTCAATCTAAATAATAAAATTATCAATAAGGGAGAAAAAAGTCCCTAAAAAGAGAAAAAAAATCAATCAGTTGATGTTTGAGAAATTGAAATGAGATATGGTTAATTCTATCTACATTATCTCACTGCCACACCCTCAAAGGTAACAATTTTCATATCCTGGGTGCAGGAAGGAATATTGTACAGGTTTATGAAGGTTCCTAACCCAGAAGCTAACTGAATTCTGTCAATTTCTTGCAGAGCGCCCCACCTCCAACTGCATATTTAATTAAAAAAAAAAAAAAGACTGGAACAAATGCCAGTACCTGACTGATTTCCATGTCTCCTAGAAGGTTGGAGCCAGAGTATGATTTATTCTAGACACTATGTGAAGTCTTTCTGGTTACACCTATATTATACTTTCCAGTTACCGCAGTTAACAGGTCCTGCCATTACCATACAAAACCAAAGCATAGTGTAGGCTAAATATCCTCTTGATGATACCTGAACTATATGTCCACAGATGTCATTCCTACACAATGCAAAAATCAGAAAGGCACTCTCATATTTTATAGACTTAACATTGTTTCTCCAGTATCTGATGTCAGCATACTAAAAAGTCACAGAGAAATCACAAAAAAACCTGTACTTAAAAAAAGTGTAACAGATCCATTTTCTCCATCTACAAGGGAATGCAAGAAGGCAGGGACTGGGATTATACCTAAGACTTTAGCCCCTTTCGCAGCTTTCCAAAAGTCTTAGTGGCACACTCTATTACATAGATTCCATTTCTATTTCTCCTTCTCCACAACTAAAAGTATTCCACTTTCACCACCTTAAATAAGGTTTTAAAGAATAAAAGCCTCCTGAGAACTACAAAGAATGAGAAGGATGCCCATCAACCCTTCCTGTGGAGAGAAAAATCAGCCCGTTCTTTCAGACCAAAGGAATTCTTTCCATTAGCAAGAGAGCAAAAACTCTGTAACCAGGCTGAGAAGCATGAGTCTAGGAAAGTCACTTTACAGCGGTGGCCATGGCCATCTGAGGGTGGTAGACTGCCACTTACCTGTGCCGGTTTTTATTCTTTCGTTTTTTATGGCTGCTGTGATGACTCCCTGAGGAAGTAGCAGATGCAGCCTTCTGAGGTTTCACTCCCTGCACAGATCCATCTAGATCCTCGGGGTCTTCCTGGCTGGGTTCATTTTCCTGATTGTGGAAGTCCGGAGATGTATCACTCTCTGTCCCACTTCCTGGTTCCCCTGGAAGTAATAAACACGGCACCTGAGAACATCGTCAGGACTCCTCAGATAATCTGCTCAGCAAGCAAGAGGAATATTTTGACCACTGCTATTGTCACCAATTCTGATTTGCAGGTCCCCATGTGAGAGAGCAGAATGGCCCAGGAGACTTTTCCAGGCTGCAATCTTTATGGAAGCAGATCAGCAGCTCTTTCACAGAGGTGCAGGCTAGTCTAAATTGCCAACTTTCTGATTAACTGTTAGTCAGGGGCTTAAACACTGGACCAGTAGGACTCCTCTGCATACTAGTACATAGGAAAAACTATTCTCTATCCTCCAAAACTGTATGTTCTAACTGATCACTAATTCAGACCAGTGTTCCTAGATACTGTGCAACCTGAAACAGGGTAATCAGAGGCAAGGGGTCTAAATCTGGCTAGGAAATGGAGCCCTCCCACCAAGATAACTTTCACTTCATAAAGACTTTATTTACACATAAAACACACTAATGGATTGATGATCACAATTAAAACACTACATTTCCAGGAAGTGAAAGGTGGGAACCAGCCCGTAGCTGGCTCTGCCCTACCCCAAACATATAAGTAGCTCATCTTCTACCAAAAAAAAAAAAAAACAAACAGAGGCCCAGGGGGGAGAAGAGTGCTGAATTACTCTGAGAAGCCCTAAAAAATTTTTTTAAAAGAATTAACAATATAAATTAATTGGCATACAGTTTCAATTTTAAAATACCTCTTGGCTAATTAAATATTTTGTTGTTGTTGTTGTGTGCCGTCAAGTCGTTTGCGCTCATAGCGACCCGACCCTATGTACAACAGCCCTAAACTCTGCTCTGTCCTGTGCCAATCACACTGTCTCTGACACTCCCATCCCAATTATCCCAGTCACTGAATCAATCCACCTCATAGAGAGCCTTCCCCTCCTGCACTGTCCCTCCACCCTCCCAAGCATGATGTCCCTCTCCAAAGACCGGTCCCTCCTCACAACATGTCCAAAGTAGGTTAGACGGAGCCTCAGAATCCTTGCCTCCAAAGAGCCACCCGGTTTAACCCTTTCCAGGATGAATCTGTTTGTTCCTAGTAGTCCATGGTACTCTCAATACTCTTCTCCAGCACCACAGCTCAAAGGCATCAATTCTCCTTCTATCGTCCTTGGTCAATATATTAAAGGGGGAAAAAATCTGGTATAAATCCATTTATTTAAGTAACATAATTACATGTATTTCAGTACATGCATTTTTTTCTCTCTAAAATTTCTGAAACTTTTGAAAGATTGGAAGCTTTTCTTTTACCTTACTGAGCCACTGAAGGTTCCTAAATATGTTCATTACCTGTTTCTAAGAATTATCAAAAAGAATTATGTGCATAAAAGGACCAGACATCTTCTTTTTCTATCTTAGTTTTAAAAAAATTCTGTGAAGAAAGCCCAAATTTAGCAGCACATGAAGAGCGAAATAAAGGAAAACTTCTCACAAAAGAAAGAAGATATAAAATAGGGAGGTCTCAGAAGCCCTGAAAAGTAGTTTTGTGCACTTCAAAACAGCAACAGAAGGGGGAGCTCTAGGGTTATGAAGGTAGAAAAGTACACTTTTACTACCTTCATCACCATCTCAAAACTGACTCAGAAATTACCTTCCAGGGGTTTTCAGAAAAAAATAAAAGTAAAATGACCAATCTTCATGTTTAGGAAAATTGATTTCATGTGAAATGCACAAAAGCATTTCAGAATTTTCTAAAAAATGATGACAATCAAATCTGTGCCGTATAAACAGTATAAACTGTGCAGGATAAACTCAGATCAATCAATGGAATAGAATCTATTCTAGAATATGAGATCCAAAAATGGTTATACAGAAGATCTACTGATAAGCAAATCATTTGTGAAGCTGAACTATAGGAAAAATAATGTAGCATCAGGATCAGAGGAAGACTCAACAAGAACCTGTATCATACAGATGATGTAATCTTGCTTGCTGAAAGTGAAGAGGATTTGAAGCACTTGCCTTCAACACGGATTACATTTCAACATCAAGAAAACAAAATTCTCACCACTAGACCGACAGGCAACCAACGCGACGACAGATGAAGAAAAGACAGATACTATCAATGACTTCATCCTACTGGAATCCATAAGCAATACATTTGATACTAGCAGTCAAGAAATAAAAAAACATACTGCACTGGGAAAGTCGGCTTTCAGGGACCTCTCCAAAGTATTGAGGATAAATCATGTCTGTTTAAAGACTAACATACACCTGATTCAGGCCATGATCTTGTTGTCCGTCACTCACTCTACACCTGAGAGCTGGACAATGAATAAGGATGACAGAAGACGAACTGAAGCTTTTGAGTTGTGGTGCTGGAGGAAAATATTTAATATCTCACAGACTACCAAAGGAATAAACAGCTATGTTTTGGAGAAAAATCAGCCAGCTGCTTCTCAGAGGCAAGGATGGCAAAATCTCATCTCCCGTATGTTGGGCATGTTGTTAAGAGGGGCTATTCTTTGGAAAGAGACAGTATGCTTAGAAGGTGAAGGGCCAGCAAAAGGAAGACCCTCAACAAGATGAGTGCCAGTGACTGCAGCAATGGGCTGAAGTATGTCAGAGATGATGAGAATGACACAGATTGGAGCAAGTTCAGATTTGTTGTTCATAGGGTCACTGTAAGCCATACTCACAACTCCATGGCACCTAACTGTGGTCAACTGACAATTATGGTCAACTGATTGTCAACAAGGGTCAAAGTAAAGAGTTTTTTCATAAATGGTGCTGGGACAACTAGAAATCCAAAAGAATGCAGTTTGAGTCCCTCTTAACGCCACACACAGAAATTAAAAATGGAACACAGACCTAAATGTTAAGTGATAAAACTCTTAAAATCAATTAGACCAGGTAATGGTTTTACATATGTTACAATAACAGCAAAAGTAAAAAATAAAGATTAAACTGGTCTACATTAAAATATTATACTTTTTGTTACAAATTATACTATCAGCAAAATGACAACTCAGAGAATGAAGGAAAATACTTGGAAATCATATATTTGATAAGGGTTGTATATTCAGGCTACCTAAAAGACTTGCCACACAATAATAAAAAGATTAAACATAAAGTAGGCAAAGGATTTGAAAAGAATTCTCCAAAGAAAATATAAACATGGCTACTAAGCAAAGAAAAGAAAATGTTCCAAGGCTTCTTGTTACCTTCAATTTGATTCTCTTAGCAACCCTACAGAATACAGCAAAAATGTCCCATAGTAATTTTGGGGCTGAAATCTTTCTAGGAGCAAATTACCAGGTCTTTTCTCCCAGTCACAGGTGACCCACCAGCAGGTCCCAAAGCTATAAATTGCATGGAAGGAGAATGCTCATCTTTCTCCTACAGTCCAAAAGGAATTTGCACAGCTAACACAAGAGCTGGACTTCTCTGACTGGTCAACTCACCAGCAGCTCCAAGGGAAAAAGATGGGGAATGTCCTTCCATCCGAATTACAGCCTCTCAAAACCTTAACTGCTAGAGAGGGTCAGCTATGAGTCAGTTATGACTTGATGATAAGGAGTTAGAGTTTTTTGAGTTTTTCTCCCATAGAGCCACTGGTGGTTTCAATATTACCTTTTGGTTAGCAGTCAAGTACTTAATCATTGTGCTGCTTGGGCTTGCACTGTTGTTGCTATAGGATGTCATTTGCAACTCACAGTGAGCCCTAAAAACCCTGGTCTATCCTGTGCCAAACTCACTGTCTCCAACACACCCACTCCCATTACCCCAATCACTGAATCGATCCATCTCATCGAGGGTCTTCCTTTCCTGCACCATCCCTCCACTCTCCCAAACATGATGTCCCTATCCAAGGACCAGTAATTCCGTGCAACATGCCCAAAGTATGTTAGAGGAAGCTTAAGAATCCTTGACTCCAAGGATCAGCCAGGCTTCACCCTCTCGGGGACCAACCTGTTTGTTCTCCTATCAGCTCATAATATATTCAACACTCTTCTCCAGCACCCCATCTCGAAGCCATCAATTATCTTTCTATCATCCCTAGTCACTGTCCAGCTCTCCAACTCATAGCACACAATTGTGCAGACTATGGCCCGGATCAGGCGCACCTTAGACTCCAGCCTAATGCTGATGCTCTTCAATACTTTGGAGAGGTCCCCAACAGCTGACTTTTCCAATGCAATTCATCTCTTGATTTCCTGGCTGCTGGTACCAAGAGTGTTGACTATGGAGCCAAGTAAACTAAAACTGTTAACTATCTCAATCTTGTCACCGTTCATACTGATGCTGCCAATTGGCCTAGTGGTGAGAATCTTTGTTTTCTTAATATTGAGCTTCAATCCATAGTGAAGGCTGCAGTCCTTAACCTTCTGCAGCAAGCACTTCAGGTCCTCCTCAGTTTCAACAAGCAGGATTGTGTCATCTGCATAACGCAGGCTGTTGATGAATCTTCCACCAATCCTGATGCCACATTCCTCCTCGTACAGCCCAGCCTCCCAAATGATCTGTTCTGCATACAGACTGAAAAGGTATGGAGACAGAATACATTGCTGACAGACAACCTTCCCGATTTTGAACCACTCAGTGTCTCCTTGCTCTGTTCTGACAATTGCCTCTTGGTTCAAGTATAGGTTTCGCATAAGCACAATCAAATATTCAGAGTCAGCCACAGCTTGTTGTGATCCACACAGTAAAAAGCCTTTGCATAGTCAATGAAACACAGATAGACATTTTTCTGGTACTCTGCTTTCTGTCACGATTCATCTAACATTAGCTGTAATATCGCTAGTACCACAGACTTCTAAACCCAGCCTGCACATCTGGCAGTTCTCTGTTGGCGTGTTGCTCCAGTTGTTTCTGGATAATTTTCAGAAGAATCTTGCTTGCATGTGATATTAGTGATACTGTTTGATAATTTCCGCACTCTGTTGGGTCATCTGTCTTTGGAATGGGAACAAATATGGATCTCTTCCATTCAGTTGGATGCTTTTGGGCAGAGTGTTAA